GTCCGGGGGGGCGGGCTGGCCTGCAACAGGGCTCTCTCTGCCCCCGGTCACCATGGCGATCACCGGGTAGCATGCCAGTCGGCACCCACAGCCCCGGGAGTCCGGGGGTGCTGGCTGGCCTGCGCAGCGGCTCTCTCTGCCCCCCATCGCCATGGCGATCACGGGGAAGCAGCTCTCTCTCCCTCCAATCCATAATGCAATCACTGATCACTGGCCGTCTTTGCCTGCCCCCCACCTCTTGCCTGATGGCTGGGTTTCCCATCCCTTGTGCCTCCCAGCATTGTGGCTGTGTATGCAAATTAACCGCCATCTTTGTTTAAAGTTAACTGCCATCTTGGCTGGCAGTTAATTTGCATATCTCGCTGATTAGCCAATGGGAAGGATAGCGGTTGTACGCCAATTACCATGTTTCTCTTTTATTAGATAGAATTGAAAAGAACATGAAAACAAATTTTGGCAGCAAATATAAAGGGTTACTTCTAACACATAAAACATTAATTTAAGGACAAAAATGTCCAACTTGTAAATAAAAGATGGTAGAACTAAGAGTACTACTCCTATTCTAATCTCTCAAATATTTTTAAAAATTCCATTTTCAGCCCGGCCCGCGTGGCTCAGTGGATAGAGCGTCGGCCTGCGGACTGAAGGGTCCCAGGTTCGATTCCGGCCAAGGGCACATACCTTGGTTGCGGGCACATCCCCAGTAGGGGGTGTGCAGGAGGCAGCTGATCGATGTTTCTAACTCTCTATCCCTCTCCCTTCCTCTCTGTAAAAAATCAATAAAATATATTTTTAAAAAAATTCCATTTTCAACAAAACATTCTATTTTAAGAAGTGGTCCAGATGAGGTATGACAGATAGCTCATTTTTACCACTTCAAATGACAGACCAAATGCAGACTTCCACTTGGGGCTAATAAATCCAGAAATAAAAATGTTTAGGGACATAATTATGCTTTGTTCAAGAGATGAATCTGGAGCACAAATGAACCTTAAAAAATAGATTGTCCATTTAGAGACACAGATCAATATACAGAAGTTGCAGAATGGCACAGGAGTCAGAGCTGAGGGAACAACCAGGTTTAAGCTGCCTCTTTTAATGTTTGTGAGCAAACCAGCTAGCTAAAGGAGAATGCTGAAGAAAAAGAGTAAGAGGCACCTATTACCAAATATGAAAACAGAAATTCAGACTAACCCAACACACTTCCCCACATTTAAGTATCCTCAAGACTGTGTGTTGTGCATGTGTGCATATATATATATACATATATACATGTAAACTAGAGGCCCTCGCAGCCCCAGCTTTGTCCAGAAGGACTTCCAGAAGGTCATTCGGCTGTCTGGTCTAATTGGCATATTATGCTTTTATTATTATAGATAACTGAGCTGGTTTAAAGATGAGCAAAAACCAACACTCAACATGCAACCTATTTGAAGAAACTAAAACAAAGAAAAACAAGACAGGTAAAGAACAACATTTCAAATAAACAGAAAGAGTTCAGACATATAGTATTCCATACTCTCAAAGTAATTATAGAACTGTTTTATTTTTTTAAGAGGAAAGTCCTCAAAAGGTATAACACTGGTTCAAAGATAAGATGATAAGAAAATGAACGCAAACTTGCAGTGTTTAGTAAACATAAGGCAAAAATCTTACAGAAAAGATAATCCTCGAACAATTGATATTCAATCCACGAGAAGAAATGAAAAATACTAAAAAACTAATGGATCAATAAAACATGGAATACCCACAAAATGAATTAAAAGGAACGAGGTACTGACTGAGTCAGGCTCCAAGATGATGACCCTTGAAAGGAAGCAAAGTGAAAGAAGAGACACAGAAGTCCACATTTGGAATGATTCCATTTATATAAAATGTCCAAATCCACAGAAGTAGAAAGTAGATAAGTGGCTGTCAGGGGCTGGAGTGAAGGGGAAAAGAAGAGCCAACTGCTAATGGATTGAGGTGCTTCTTCTTAGGATGATGAAAATAGTCTGGAGTTAGATGGTGATGGTTGAACAACTACTATGTGAATCTACTAGAAAATACTAAATTTTATATTTTAAAAAGGTTGAGTTTTATAGTTTGTGAGGTATATCTCGTTTTTAAATGTAAAAAAAAAAGGAATAGATCAACACAAATTAGATATGTAATAATTTTTACCAAAAATAAATCTGTGAATTCCATAAAAAAAGGGATAAGATTATGTATTAAGCTGAAGTCACCTGAAATAAGGGGCAAAAGTTAGATATTTCTCATGCAACATACCCACATAAATTCCCAATTTTCTTTCTACTGAGTAATCAATCATTCCTTTAATGGTACTTGTGTTTACTTACATGCTGTATTTCCTGCTGGCTGGCTCGGTAGTTTTTCTTGGTTAAATTGTCCACCAGGTAGCTGATTTGAGACAAGGCCAGCGAGAGCGAGTCAAGATTCATTGCTGGTTGGGGCGGAAGCAGGCGGCCGAGCCCGGCGCAAAATCACCATTATTCCCCTTTAGTCACCTCAGAGGCAGGTTAATGCTTTCCTTGTAATTAGCCTATATTTGGTGTCGTACAGTGTCGTCAGTTCTTCTTTACCAGGGGTCTTACTCTGTTCTGAAACATGGCACCTGTTTAAAAAAAAATTCAATTTTTAAATTATATTTAATTATATTTTTATTAGGGGAAAAAATGGTTAAAAACCTTCACCTCTCCATCTTAGTACCTGTAATACTAAGAAAGAAAAAAGTGAATTAAGATGCCTCAACCACTACTGATTTTAAAATCCACGTTTTAAAATCAGGTGGGGCCAGTATAAAAAGAAAATACACCTTGACCCTCGCCCCCTCCCCCCAAAAAACTGCCACAAGAAAACATAGGGAAGACGCTCTTGGACATAATTTTTTGGATATAACACCAAAAGCACAACAAAAGAAAAAAAAATCAACAAGTGAGACTAGATCAAATGTAGAGGGTTCTACACAATGAAAGAAACAATGAAAATGGAAAGTCAGCCTATGGAATTGGAGAGAATATTTGCAAACCATGTTTCAGGTAAGGGGTTAATCCAAAATTTATAAAGAACTCACACAATGCAATTAAAAAAGCAAACTCAGATTAAATACGGGTGAAGAAACTAAACAGACATTTTTCCAAAAAAGACATCCAATGGCAAACTGGTATATGAAAGGTACTAAACATCAGAGGAGTGCAAATCAAAACCAGGATGAGATATCAACTCACACCTGTAAGAATGGCTATCAACAAGAAATGTCTTCGGTCTGATTCCTGGTCAAGGGCACATACCCGGGTTGCAGGTTCAATCCCCACCCTAGTCATTGTCTGGGCTCTGGCGTGCGTGGTGCATGCGTGCGTCCGTCTCCCACCTTCCTTTATCACCCACCCTCTTCCCAACCTCTCTTAAAAAAAATATCCTCCACTGAGGATTAACAATAAAAGAATCAACCAATGAATGCATCAATAGGTGGTTAGGTGATAAAGAAGTTGGTGTGTGCACCCTTGCACCTCTCTTTCAAATCAATTCTTTAAAAAATGAATGTATCCCTGGCCAGTTTTTTGGCTCAGTGGTTACAGCATTGTCCCTTGGACCTAAGGGGCTTGGGTTTGATTCCCGGTCAAGGGCATGTACCTCAGTTGCAGGTTCAATCCCTAGCCTGGTTGGTGCCCAAGCAGGAAGCAACTAATTGATGATGTGTCTGTCTCTCTCGCTCTCTCTCTGCCCACTCTGTTTCCTCCGTACCTCCTCCCCTCCCCTCCCCGCTTCCACTCTAAAAATCAACAGAAAAAATATCCTCAACTCCTCAGGTGAGCATTTTTTTTTAAAAAAAAGTATTTAGCCCTTCAAAGCATAAAATCAACATAAAACTAATTACAGAATGTAGCTCAAGTTCATTAAACTTTGAAAAAAATTTTTTTCTTTTAATTCCCACCCGAGGATATTTTCCCATTGATTTTCAGAGAGAGGGAAAGACAGAGAAAATATCCATGTGAGAGAAATACATCAATTGATTGCCTCCTGCACGTACCCCGACTAGTGTCGGGGAGGAGCCTGTAACCAAGGTACGTGCCCTTGACCGGAATTGAATTCGGAACCCTTCAATCCGAAGGCCAATGCTCTATCCACTGAGCAAAACTGGCGAGGGCTGAAAATATTTTAATTGGAAAATTTTACCATTATCATTCTTCGTTTTATCAGATTATATAAAATGCCCCAAATCATCTTCTACCAGTATACTCCAGTGTACCATATAAACATCATCTGCTAAAGGTAGCCCTCTTATCAGTTCCAACATACCAACCTAACTATATACATAAAGTGCTATAAAACACACACACACAAAAGGAAACACTCACTTCAAGTGCCTAATAGAATACAGAATTTATTATAATGCTATGCAACTAAGACAACTGTGTATAAGAATGGGGAAAGAGACCAGCTGATGTGGCTCAGTGGTTGAACCAGATTCGATTCTGGTCAAGGGCACATGCCAGGTTGCAGGCTCGATCCCCAGTAGGGGGCATGCAAGAGGCAGCCGATCAATGATTCTCTCATCATTGATGTTTCCCTTTCTCTCCTTTCTTCTCTGAAATCAAAAAAAAATGTTGTTTTTAATAAATAAAAATATAAAAATAAATAAAAGGATAATTTAAAAAAAGACTCAGACGACATGCTTCTGGGTCGGGGTTTCATAGATAGCAGAGCAGGCTGCCTCGCTGCGATCTATTAAAAGGCAGCCCTTGACACAAGGGTTTGTAAAAAAAATGTTTTTAAAAAGAATGGGAGGAGAGAAGACCTATTTAAAATGCTGATTCCCCACCCTATTCGGTTTGGCTCAGTGGATAGAAAAATGTCAGCTTTCGGGCTAAGGGTCCCAGGTTCGATTCCAGTCCAAAGTACATATCTCCACTGCAGGCTCTTCCCTGGCCGGGGCATGTGCAGGAGGCAACCAATGGATGAGTTTCTCTCACATCGATATTTCTGTCCCTCTCTCTTCCACTCTGTCTAAAAATCAATAAGCCCAGCTGCCATGGCGCAGTGGTTGAGCATTGACCTAGGAACCTGGAGGTCACAGTTTGAATCCCAGTCAGAGCACATGCCCGTATTGTGGGATCCATCCCAGTGGGAGGAGTGCAGGGGGCAGCCGATCAATGATTCTCTCATCATTGATATTTCTATCTCTCTCCCCCTCTCCCTTCCTCTCTGAAATAAATAAATAAATAAACCGAGTGGGCCACATGTGAGGACTACCTCCCATTTTTCTTAAAACCAAATAAATAAATATAAAAGTCAATGGAAAAATACCCTTGGGTGAGGATTAAAAATAATATTAATTTTTAAAATGCTGATCTCTAAGCACCACCTTACATCAAAAGAATCAAAATTCTGGTGGGAAGTACAGGGCATGGTATTTTGAATACACTCTGCAGGTGATTCTTAGTGCATTTTACATATTTTTTCAAAAATTTTTTTATTGATTTCAGAGAAGAATGGACAGGGAGTTAGAAACATTAATGATGAGAATCATCAATGGGGTGCCTCCTGCATGCCCCCCACCACACACACACACACACACACACACACTTGGGATTAAGGCCCCAACCGGGCATGTGCCCTGACCAGGAATCAAACCACGAACGACATCCTGGTTCTTAGGTCAACCCTCAACCAATGAGCCACACCAGACAGAGTTAGTGCATTTTAATGTTTAAGAACCACTGATCTGCCCTAGCTGGGTTTGGCTCAATAGATAGAGGTTGGCCTGCGGACTAACGGGTCCCAGGTTTGACTCTGGTCAAGGGCACATGCCCAGGGTGCAGGTTCAGTCCCCAGCAGGGGCGTGGAGGCAGCCAATTATTGTTCTCTCTCATCACTGATGTTTCTATCTCTCTCTCCCTCTCCTTTCCTCTCTGAAATCAATAAACAAAATTGTAATAAATAAAGTAAAAACCCAATGATCTCTGCCTAATACTTACACCCTTATATAATAACAATCCCCTTCCCTTAAGTGTGGGCAGGACCCTTAATACATATGGCTTTGAAAGAAGATAACAGAAAGTCATTCCAAGATTAAGTTACAAAAGACTGACACTGGCATCTGAGAATTAGAGAAACAATAATAAACATCTTACGCCCAGACCAGTTTGGCTCAGTGGATACAGCATCAGCCTGCAGACTCAAGGGTCCCAGATTCGACTCCAGTCAAGGGCGTGTACCTTGGTTGCGGGCACATCCCCAGTGGAGGGGTGTGCAGGAGGCAGCTGATCAATGTTTCTCTCTCATTGATGTTTCTAACTCTCTATCCCTCTCCCTTCCTTTCTGTAAAAAATCAATAAAATATATTTTAAAAAATAATAATAATAAACATCTTACAAGAAAGGACAGCAGCACCAACAAAAAACTACCCTACCCTAACACCAACAGTACCCTTTTTGAGAAAAATGGCTTTTGCATCTACTTTCTGTAGGGTGGATTCCAAATTTGGTTTTCCACAAACTTAACACAAAGCCAAGCACAACTTAAATCTACCAAACGGGAGAGTATATGGCTTGCCCTAACCGGTTTGGCTCAGTGGATAGAGCGTCAGCCTGCGGACTCAAGGGTCCCAGGTCCGATTCCGGTCAAGGGCATGTACCTTGGTTGCGGGCACATCCCCAATAGGGAGAGTGTTGGAGGCAGCTGATCGATGTTTCTCTCTATCCCTCTCCCTTCCTCTCTGTAAAAAATCAATAAAATATATTTTTTTAAAAAAAGAGTACATGGCTTATGTGAAGTGGCTACCACTTCTCAGAGCAAGTTTTAAGCATTAATATTAATTCAATCAAGTATTTGTTGAGTGCTGCCTATGTGTCAAATATCTGAGGTACATACATCCCTGCATTCCCACTGTAAGGGAAAAATAGTAATCATAAGAAATTATGAAGCATTTTAGGAGATGCTAATATGAAAAAAGAAAAACTATAAGGTAAAGGTGAACCAAATGTGTGTGGGGGTGGGAAAAGGGGGGTGCTGCAATTTAAGTAGGGTGGTCAGAGTGAGCCTTACTGGAAAGTACAGTATTTGAGCAAATTTGAAGGAACTGACTGTATAGACATACACACATCTGAGAAAAGAACGTTCCAGGCCCTAGCTGGTTTGGTCCAGTGGATAGAGCGTCGACCTGCACACTGAAAGGTCCCAGGTTCGATTCCGGTCAAGGGCATATGCTGGGGTTGCAGGCTTGATCCCCAGTAGGGGGCATGCAGGAGGCAGCTGATCAATGATTCTCTCTCATCACTGATGTTTCTGTCTCCCTCACCCTTCCTCTCTGAAATCAATAAAAATATATAAAAGAAAAAAAGAATGTTCCAGGCAGAAGGATTGGTGGTCAGTCACTACTAAGGCTTCCTCATGGCATGTACAAGGAAAAGCAAGCAGGCCAAATTGTAGCCAAAGTAAACTGGGGAGGGGGGGGGGGGGGGG